CGAGTGCGCGGGCCACTTAGAGGTGGCCGGTGAGCGTACGGGCCAGTTGTTTTGCCGTTTTGGTGGCCGATGAGCGTGCGGGTCACTTGGAACTGGCTGATGAGTGCGCGGACCATATGGAGGTGGCCGGTGAGCGCACGGGCCACTTGGTTTGCCATTCTGGTGGCCGATGAGCGTGCAGGCCACTTGGCATTGGCTGTTCCAGTGGTTCGTCACCGCGTCATCAACAGTTCACTGATTCGCTTCATTTGCTTATCGGCATCAGACGATCCTTTTTTACTCGGATAATCCTCTTCGATTTGGATAATGACGTTCATCGCCTTCTCTTTGTCTCGAGTTGTGTGCGGACACCTATAGGCATTTTTAGACATCTACACTTACAATGATACAAAATTTCTAACATACAATGGTTCAAAATTAATTCTTTTGTTATGTTAGATGCAAGGTAATTTTGAAAACTACGTGGGTCTAAATGTAAATGGAGGTAAAACTTTGGTTTAGATGCAAAAATTCTTTTTAAAAAAGTGAGTCAATTTAAATATAATGGTTAAAACATCTTGTTACATCGTACACCTAACCATTTAGAAAAAAATAACTATGAATATGAGTGGGCTCAAAGTAATATGGAGAGAAATTTAGGCTTAGAGGCAAAAAACCAAAAACAAATCTTTATGATATAAATATTGGTTCAGAAATACACTACAGCTGAGCGCTTAGAAACAAAAATATAATGAACAGTTGAAGTACTAGATAGATTCAAATTAAAATGAGGTTTAAGTGTTTTGTGTTTAAGAGTGAATTTGGAAATGAGCGATCTATAGATAAAAAATATGGCTTTGGATTTACAACAGAAATATAGAAGGTTATAACAAAATATAGAGACTCACATGTAATGAATAATGAAAATATAAAGTGAGTTTAAGATTTATTCGAATGAGTATTTTGGGTCTCAATGGTGAGCTTAGAGGTAAATAGGGTGTTCTATTAGAATCCTTACACTGTCTAAACCACTCTAGAACAAAAAAATTTGCATGTTAAGTGAAATATAACGACTTACTTGTATAAGAAATTGCTAAAATACTTTGGGTTTAAAGATCAAAAAATCCTTGCAAAGTGGGTAAATTTAAAAATAAATAAACATAAAACCTTGAGCTCATAGAAAAACCATCATCTTTTGTTTATGACATTTCAACAATGTGAAAAAAACCCTAAAAATAGCGCTTAAGCATTTGTCAAGTTATTACAAATTGAGTTTAAAAATGGTTCCAAGTACTTTTTTTAGTCTAAGAGTGATTTTGGAAGTGTGTGATTTAAAAATAAACAAGGATAAGATTTATACACAATATAATCTATCTACAGTTGCAACTTATGATATAATAAATTTATGAAATACAAAGTAAGTTCAAAAGTAATTTATTGGATTATTTTAGTTTAAAGACTGATTATGTAAGTTATTGAATGTAAAAAAAATAAATCAGGGAATTTTTGGGGTTATGAAAAAAACCCTCTTTATATGGTCCTCCATTATATTATTATGTTATATTATTAGAGTTGATGGAACATTTCGGGTTTATGATTTATTTTTTAAGTGAATGGACTTAAAGACAAATCGAGTTATCTTATTAGGTTTCCAAATAAAAATCTTATTTATTTATTATTACTTTTAATCTTACGGAGCTGCACAAATTTTCAAACCCATGGAGGCATTAGGTGGTGAGATGAATTTTTTAAGTGGTGGACTTCAAAGCAAGTTTGGTTGAAACGTTGGGTTGGTAAATGAAAAATATACTTTTTTTTCTTTTAACAAGAAGCTATTAAGGTGTACCGTAGAATAAACAATGTTAAGCTGTAGTGCTAACCCCAATATCTTTAGTATATAGAGATAAACAGTATAGATCTGAGCTGGCTTGTTTATCACGCACCGCTAATTATACATATTATAGTACATAAATGTAGATATCTTGATATCTAGAGCCATTACAATAGGCTAAATACCCATATTGGTATTTTATTTCCACCCTAATTTCTAACAAGGTATTTTAAATAGGCAAACCCGCTTTAAGACATTTTAATTGATCCAACTAACCAATAAGGCATGGTTTCTCGTCGGCGGGCAAATTTCCGGTGAGATCTCGTCACGCGCATGACACATGATGTCTCAAAACTCGTTTTTAGCAGCGACGACGGCAACAATCTCGTCATATTTAGCCGATTCGATGGGGTTAGCGATCTCAGGCGGCGTCATAACCGTTATTTTATCCTACTTTGGGCTGAATATGACGAGATTGTTGGCGTCGCCGCTGCTAAAAATGAGTTTTGAGACATCACGTGCCATGCACGTGACGAGATCTCGTCGGAAATTTGCCCGCCGATGAGAAAACATTCCTTATTGATTAGTTGGATCAATTAAAATGTCTTAAAGTGGGTTTGCCTATTTAAAATATCTTGTTAGAAATTAGGGTGGAATTAAAATACCAATATGGGCATTTAGCCCATTACAATATTTCTCCACAGCAAATATCACCTCTTCATGTTCTCTCACGGGCAGCGAGTCCCCATGACACTCGCACATAATCCAGTTCGAATCTGAGCAGACCAGGCTCGACCCAAAAGTGTTAGTAATAAAGTCCCACGATTTCGGTCCGAGACTGGGACCCAACAAATTAACCCAGATTCAGAGATGTGTTCAAAATATCAAGGGTTTTGTCAATATTAGTCCCTTATATCTTTAGTATTTTTGTTATTAGTCCCTCACATACCTTTATATTTTGATATTAGATAGATCGCCAAATTATCAAATGTGTTGATATTAGTCCGTGATGTTAGTAAGTGGTATAATTTTAGAGGAATATTTTATTTTCTTTAACCCCATCCATTGATAGGAATATGTGTCCCTCATAACAAATCCAAACCCACAAATACAATTGCTAATATTAGAAAAAGAATATTTGAGAGACCAAGATGAAAATACTAAAGGTGTATGTGACTCATGTTTAAAAAAACCCCAAATATCAAACTATTGGTCCCCACGACGACCAGTACTGTGACTCAACGCTTTGTGTGGCCAGTGGAAATGAATGCGCTGGTACTGTGCTTGAGCTCTCTATCTTGAAGATGCACTATCCGTGCTCACCAAACTCTTCAGCGTATATTTAAGAGGAGGGAGAGCTTTAAATTGCAAATTTTGACAATTGAATGTGAGTAATTTATGAATGATCAAGCGTTGCTGGAGATGAGGACATGGGCATGGCCAATATTTGGCCATCGTATAGATCTTGTCGAAGATGGATGGATGAGGATTGGATAAACCATTTGCACGTAGATAGCTCTATATGTATGGTGGAGAAAATATATGTTCCATATCTTAATATAGATTTTCAACGGAAGGATCTGAAATCCTTTTGCTGTGGTTGTATGGCTGATATCTTATTTTCTCAATCACAATCAATTATTATTTCAAAACAATGTTGTATGACATGAACTTTTAATTTTATTAGGATTTTTTCCTAATTTTTTTGCCCAGAACTTTAGTGAGTCTAGGATCGCTCAGATTTGAACGTGATCTCATCCGTTAGAATGTGGATTGTTGTCAGAACTCTCCCCAAGTACTACATAATTGGGGAGGATCAGAACCTGTGAGTTGTATATAATGTTAATCTCTAAGTTGAATAAAATCTAGGGAGATCTAGTTTTGCCCTGTCCTTTGTCAATGATCTTGAACTATGCCACTTGACCAAAATTCTTAAATGTTCTTATATTTAGTTTAGCCTTTCTTTCTCTTGCTAAGATTGCTCCTTACAAATTTAGCATCTAACTCTCTTCCTCTTTTACATAATAGTCTATAAGATTTCTTAAAATGAGTCATGAAATTAATTCATAAGTTTACCACATGCACCCTTTGTTGTTTCGTGTTTTTCATATTGCTCTAGAAACAACATAATCCTTATCCACATCCTATTTATTCTGTTCATGATTCATCCTTCAAGCATGAATTGAAATAATTTTAAGGCCAATTATAAATTAAACAAGAGTAAAAATCAATAACACAACGAGCTGTATACTGGTTCATGCAGACCAAATTGAGCATTCGAAAGGGAGCTGTCACTAAGAAAGATACCTCAGGAAACAACATTTTGTTGGGCTAATAGAGTTGGATATTTAGCTCTACAAGGCAAATGGTTCTACGCGATGCATATCTCAATTGTTCAAAATTTGTGAAAGGTCATGTAGTTAATTTTAATTCTTTCAATTAAACGTTGTTGCTGACCTAGATCGTAAATAATATTTTTCGTCAAGTGATCAGGAGTTTAAGGCCTAAAAAGAGTTTACTGATAGCAACTTCCGGCAAAATTGATTTATGGCAAACTATGCATTAGTTTTTCTTTTTCTTTTTTCCCTTGGGATGCAAGCGAACTCTGTGGAGTGGTAAATGATCTCCCGTTGTCGATGAATCCGAGTTGAATTGTTCTTCGTATTTCTATTTTATACATTTGCTTAAAAAAAAACCTTCTTGAAGAGCAATAAAAAGATAGTTTCCACCAAAAATAGTAATAATAATAATAAGTAAATAAATAAAAAAGAGATGGACAGGAGAGTTTTGTATAATATCTTCCGACTCTCCATGCAACCAACTAAACTACATGTAGGAGCCTTGAAGTTCAAGAGCATATTTCCTTGTAAATGATGACGATGGTACTGCATTGAGATGCTTCCTTCACTCTCAAGTAATCAAGAGAGCAAAGCCATTTAATTTCTTCAACACATTAATCACTCACAATAAAACCCCAGAACTCTGGTACACTCCCATTAGGACCAGTTCTTCACCAATCACCCGAGTTTAATTAAACTGAGATTAAGCCCCAAAGCTCCATGGGCTTTGCTTAATTAACCCGGACCCCACACAGATCAATTCGTCAAACAGAGAAGCGTCCCCCCCCTTCTAATTCTCTCAGCCGCACATATTTATTTATTGCACCATAAAGAGAGCCCATAAGGAAATTAGAAGCCTCCTGGCTCCTCCCCAGATATTTTCGAAGCCATAAAAATTTTGCATTAATTGCGTGCTGGCCCGTGTCCCTTTTCTCCTCTCCCGTCAATCCTCCATCTCTTAGCGACGAAGCTTTGAGCTTTTGCTCTCTTTCTCTCTCTCTCTCTCTCTTCTCGCATCCTATTTAATCCAATACCGCAGATAACTATTTTGTCAAATACCTATATTATTATTGTTGTTGCTGTTGTTGTTTTTGTTTTTGTTTTTGTTTTTGTTTTACCTTCAATTGGATCATGGATCTTCTCACTGCTCCTTCATCTTCTTCTTCCTCCTCCTCCTCTGTTGTTAGAGACAGGGCGACTTCCTTGGCTTCACAGCTAGCTGAAAAGATCATATGCGCTATTGTCACCTGCGTCTTTGCTACAGGTTTGTGATTTGTCTCAATTCTTGAGTTGGGTCCCGATTAGTTTGCGTCTTAATTTAGTTTTTCTGATCAAAATTTGATCTTTGTTGTTTTTGAACAGTGGGTTTAGTTGTAGGAGCGATTACCGGCGGGGTAATTGGATTGGCTACTGAGAGTGGGCTTTTTCGAGGGGCCGGAATCGGGGCGATCTCTGGTGCTGTTTTCTCTATTGAAGTCGTTGAATCTTCTCTTGCCCTTTGGCATTCGAATGATTCTGGTATATGGAGCATCCTCTATGTGGTAATTTCGAATATAAACCCAATTCATTTTCACAAGGGATACATTTTGCGATATTTGTATTCATCTTATGCAATTGATTGCTTGCAGATTGACATCCTCGCTAGCCTTTTGAGTGGGAGGCTTGTCAGAGAGAAGGTTGGCCCTGCGGTTCAGAGCGCAGTGCAGAGTCAGGTATATTTTAACATTTAGTGCATAATGAAACTTGCAGCATAGTATAAGACTTATGTCTTTTTTTTTTTTGTTTTTTGTTTTTGGGGGGATATCGTTCATTGTAGATGAGTGCTGTTGATGCTCCCTTCATTGAGGTTCTTGATATTTTTGAGACCGGGGGCACTGGAGGCATGTCGAAAGATTCCGTTAATAAGCTCGAAAAGATTAGGATTTCGAAGGAGAACAATGTTGATGACTCTGGAGAGAAAATTTGCTGTTCTGTTTGCCTTCAGGTTTGTTTATGGGCATATTTTGATAGCTTTATGTTCAAAAAACTTCGTGTTTTGGAGGAAATGTTAACTTGGTTTTATTCACATTTCAGGACTTCCAAACTGGGGAAACGGCAAGGTGCTTGCCTCACTGTCGGCATATGTTTCACTTGCAGTGCATTGACAGTTGGCTTATCAGGCATGGCTCTTGCCCGCTTTGTAGGCGAGATATCTAAATCTCCTCCTCCTTTTTTTTGCGAGAGGATTCAGTTGCGTATGCTGATGTTTCTTAGTTCTTCCCTTTCCTTTTTCAATTCTTTTATGTAGTTTTTCTTCAATGAGCCCCATTTTGTGTGGCTATATTTTTGTGTATTATGATGTAAAGATCTATTCTCCCTTGGACATATAATAGTACCTCATGGAGCACCTAACCTTCTTTTATTTTCATGAGGTTTTTGTTTGGTTGAGTGACTCCTAGTAAGCAATGTAGGATTTTGTACTTTTTACCGTTACTTGTTTGATAGAATGTTAAGAGGTGGGGGAAAAATGCTTAGCTAGATGTTTTGTGAGACTAGGATAGCAAGGTTTATGAGTTCGCTGTTATCTCTACTGGTTGCTGAAAATTTGATTTAACTCCTAAGATTCTACTGCTGAAGAATTCTGCAAGTTGTCAATGCATTAGAAAGTGGTAGACGTTTGTATGTGATTGAGGTCATGATCGTAAAGAACCAAAGGTATCTTGGTTGTTAAGGAATAACTGATAAGTTTCTAGGTTATAGTTGTTCGGTAGATATGAGTGAAAGATTATTAAGGTCTTTTTGTGGCAGGGAAACTTACATTGATTAGATTATGATGGTGGGTGGTGTACTGAACAAACCAACCTATAACGCATTAAAATTAATCGAGGACGCACATTTTAAGCTCTTAATATAAGCGTGTTGTATAAATTTTAGTGTGAATGTTGGAAGGAAGTGGTACTTTCTTAACCTCTTAAATTAGGGATGCACATTTTAAGAAAGTTTCTGAGTTTTTGCTTCAATTCATGCTGTTCCAGTTTGGTAAATAAATCTAATTCTCTAAAACCAAGTGAAAAACTACTGGATTTGAGCATCTGACAAACTGTGGTTCCTAATTTTCTTTTGTGCACATCTTTTGACAGTCTGATCAAGGAGCTTACCTTCTGGTTACCTTGCTAAGCACAGTCATTTTTAAGGGTGACAAAGCGCAACTACTGGATTTGAGCATCTGACAAACTGTGGTTCCTAATTTTCTTTTGTGCACATCTTTTGACAGTCTGATCAAGGAGCTTACCTTCTGGTTACCTTGCTAAGCACAGTCATTTTTAAGGGTGACAAAGCGC